TACCATTTCTGAATCAGGAGTGCCAGGTTTCGTATCCTGGGTGGTTTTGTGCAAATGGTCAGAGAATTAGAAAGTTGTGATTTTTTTTTTTTTATTGCCACAGTTGTGTTTAACAGATTTTATTGCCACTTTATATTACATTATATCTGACATTGATCTTTATAATACCACTTTATATTTCATTATATCTGATATTGATCTTTATAATACAAGCTGTATAGAGTGAAGCTTCCTTGGAATCTCCGTAGCAAAATGATGAGGCTGTTGAAGCGAACTAAAACAAAACATTGCTTTATAACCTGACCCCCCCTACTGTAACTTCCACACTTTTAAGTGCCCTCCCACCCTATATGTGCCTATGTCTTGCATGCTTTTTTCTCCCACTCAAAGGGACATTAAATCTTAATGCATTCAAGTACCTTTTAACTAGTAATAAAAATGTATCACTTGGCTGTAGATCCTCAAATCATCTCTGAATTGGTGCCAACACTGTCCTTTTTGGAGGGTGGCTACTTTTGTTCCCGGTGTGTTGTAAAGTAGTCACCGCTCTGAGCTCACTCCTGTGATGGACTACAATCTCATATTTAGTTTACTGATTAGTACTGAGATTGTAATCCATCACAGGAGTGAGCTCGGAGCGGTTACTTTTTTTCAACACACAGGAACCATGGGGAACATAAGTTGTCACCCTCCAGAAGGAAGGACAGTGTCAGCACCAATTCATAGATGATTTGAGGATTTACAGTTGAGTGATACACAAATAAGTTCCACTCACCTCATAGTTGAGACTGTCACAGGTCGACTCAGTAGATCGGGAGGTGATCGAACACCTACCGGGTTCGCTCACCTCTCAATCCTGTCACGGCTCTCTGCCGTGACAGGGGGAGGGGCTGGATTCTCCCCGCTCTGATCTGCCAGCGTGACACCAGATCGGACGGGGGAAGGGGCGGTTACAGCTGGCCCTGCCTCTAGATAGGCAGAGCCAGCTGTCACTCACGCAGCTGGGCGGATCCCGACGTCCATGTCGGGATCCGCTCCGGCCGTGGCGTCTCAGTCTCGCGGTATACTGAGCTTAGGGTAACGGGAGGATGCTAGTTTGTGTCCTCCCGTTACCCTAAGGAGAACTATGGGGAAAACACTGACCCCATAGTTGTCCTTTTAATAGTTAAGGTACTTGAATGCATTTTCAAGATCCAATCCCTGAGTTTAGTGCCCCTTTAATCTGCCTAGCAGAATGTGATATAATGATTAAGATGTGTGGGTCATGTAAATATTTTATAGCATTTGAGTAAATATGATGCTCTTTGTGTTAAGGTATATAAGGATACCAAATACTAATAAAACATTTAAAGAGAATTTTAATAGAAAATATGTATCAAGACCATTTTCTTTAATTCTAATACTGCTGGAATTATAGAAGAGTTAAAATGGCTGCTGCCTGAGAAGAAACGCTTGTTTTCATATTTTTTTTTCCCCCTGCTAGGTGAAAACAAGTTCATAGCTCACTGGCCTCGTCCAAGGTGTTTCCTGCTTGGCAATTGTTCATTTAAAAATATCACCCTTTTTAATTTTTTCCTTTTTTTTCTGGGATTAGTGAATGCGGTTTTGGCTCCCTGTCTTCTCTGCAAACAATTTTGAACCCAACACAGCTTTCCATACCAAGGTTCTTGATCAGAATAAACATGACTGTGGTAATGCATTTCGGTGGACTCTTCCATTCCCTTCTACATATTCCCACTTCTCGCCTAAAGTTTTTGTGTGCTCGTGCGCGTGTGTATTGCCCTGTATCGGGCCCGATTCCGATGCTAGCCTCGGTATCGGGACATCCCTAATATATATATATATAATTTGTATTGCTGTCTGTTTCTCCATTAGAAGCATTTTCCCTCACTTTGAGACTTGCCACACTGGTAACAGGAGGGTATGGCTATGGATTTGCAAAACATGAGCAACTTGCTGTTTGCATTTGAAATTTGGATAGATGCCTGAATTTGCTGGAGTGACCCATCTTTAACAAATAGCTGGTCTGAAAGCTTATGTCATCTGCCAGCTACAGCTTTAGCTGCTTGTCTTCTGCCCATTGTAAATAAGCAGCTCCCAACAGCAGGGTGCCGTAAATATACAGCCTTTTTTTTTTCTCCTAACTCGTGCCCCCTAGCACACGAGAAGAACACACTGACAAGTGTAAACAGCCGTTAACAGCTGTTACATTCAAGCGCTCGGGCGGCCCTATAGCCGCCTGATCGCTTTTATGTGCTCACCAGTGTGCGCCCCCTCTTTCTGCGCCGCCACCCTCCACTGTTGTTGCCAGCTATCCTGTGTTTCGATGCCCCCTCTGCGGGCCTGTGACTGGCTCGGCAGCTCTCTGCACTAAGATTGGAGGGAGGTTTGCTCACTCCCACTTTCTGATCTCTAAATGCAGAAGTGTATTACATCACTTCCACGTATAGCCAGAGAAGAAGCTGGTGAAGCAGCTCTCGGCTTCATCAGCTTCTTTGGGGGTCCCCAGGTCTTAGACACCCCTAATGTCTCCATAAAGGGGACCTGTCAGTGTTCCGGTGCTATCACACAGGGGACTTGTTATCCCCTTATGTGATAGCAATAACATTAAGTGTAAAAGAAAAGTTAAAAAAAAAAATGTCAAACATACTAATGTGTGTGTCCCCTGCTCCACGTATACGCACAAACTTAGATATGCTTTGGGTGCGCCTACGCGCAAAAGCAAAGTTTGCGCTGCTCATGTTACATATCACTGGGAATGTCTGAGTGCGAGCAATTATTCTAGGGCATCAATTCCTGATGACGCTAAACTGATGAGCAGTAAAAGCTTTTAAATTGTCCCCTATGGGCACTTTTGGTTGTTGTTAATGGAGCATATTGTGGGTGTAGTTCTGCTTTTAAGTTGTATTAAACACCAAGGCCTTTTTTTTTTTTTTTTTTCAATGATTCAGAAAATACATTTCCCAGAATAGTATCTTTTTTTAAATTTTTGTCCATGCATTTAGTGTCCTCATGTTTCCAAACAGCTCCAACTCTCTTAGCTTTCCTTAACTTCCTGTCTAGAAGATAACAAAGGACAGCACAGTCTCCAGCCGCTGTCCATCTACTAGCTTAGAGAAGAGTGGCAGCAGGAGTGTTTGTGGAGAAACCTACAGCTTACAAGGGTGGTTCTGTAGGATCCTGCAAGGGAAAGTAGCCACCCTAAAGGTGCCCATACACCTTACGATTATCGTACAAAACTTTTCGTCCGATCGAACAGTCGTATGATTTTCGTACGACGGCCCCATCCTGCCCCGATTATCGAAAGGTTCAATCAGTGGTAGTTAAAAGAAAAACACCTGGACGACTTGCGGTAATTGACCGCAATTATTTTAGTTTGCGCAGTGTTAATCGTGCGACTTGACGGACGGAAACGCCACCAACTATGCGAACATCGTACGATCGACCAAAGTTTTCAAACATGCTTGACCGTCAAAAGTCATACGATTGTACAGTACTATCGGTCGTGCACTCTATTCACACGTTACGATTGTCGTACGAAAAGTCGATCGCATACGATTATCGGAAAATAATCGTAAGGTGTATGGGCACCTTTAAACAGAATATCAGGACCAGTGCTCAGGGGACCAGCTGATTCTGCAGAAAATTAAAACTTGTAAACATCAAGAAGCTGCATTCATTGGTCCATGCAGCATTTGAAATGGTTTAAAAAGTTTCTCTTTAACCCTTCGTGACTGACGACGTACGTACGTACGTCGCCAGCATCGGGGCTGTTTAAACAGACTCCCGGCGGCTTTTGCTGCCGGAACTCTGTTTAAAGTTGTAAAGCAGTCTGTCGGCTTTACAACAGAAGCGATTCTGGCGACTTACCTGTCGCCAGATCGCTTCTGTGCCCAGAAGAAGGGCCCCCCGCCGTGCTTCCCGGGCTCCGTTGCCCCTCCTACGGGCCCGGGACCGGCTTCCTTGGTGTCCACGGGGAGCTGGGGAGGAGATCAACGAACTTCCGTTCATCGATCCCCTCCCCGTTCTATGGGACCGGGAGCGATGCAGATTGCATCACTTCCGGTCCCTGGGCTGTCAGTTCTGGGCTCCTGCAGCCCAGCTATAAGCTATTGAAGTGTGATCTGCACTTCAATAGCTTATTTCTAGTGTAAAGGTGACACTGGGGGTCTTTTGGACCCCCAGCATCACCTTTTAAAAGAGTACCTGTCAACACCATCTGCTATCACATGGGGGGGGGGGCTTGCAAGCCCCCCTATGTGATAGCCGTCAAAGTACAGTAAAATAAATTTTTTTTAAATTAAAATGAAATAAAATAAATCTAATAAACATTTTTTTAAAGTCCCCCGCAAGCACGCGCGTCACCACGTAAACACGTGTCGGGTGCGCATACGTATGAAAACGATGAACGCGATACATGTTGGTTTTCGCGGCGCGCGCCGGAGTGAGAGCAATAATTCTACGGCCAGTATTTTGGGGTATCTCTAAATTGATGACCTGTGGGGGCTTTTAAAGCGGCTTCTATGGACTTTTTGGGGGTACTGCAGTTTTTTGCCGTTTCACGGACGCACGCAATTTGTAAACTGGGCATCTTACTAGTTGTAACCTCATCTTTTATATTTCATTCAAAAATTGGTATTTTGTTGTGTTTTGGGGCATTTAATTAAATTTGTCACAAAATTTTGGGGTTTAATAAGGAGTTGCGCTAATATTGCGCAACATTAAAAATTTGCAACTACCACCATTATATTGTATAGGGTCTTGGCATTCAGAAAATATATAATGTTGGGGGGTTTTAAGTCATTTTCAGGCCTACAATGTGGAATATAACATGGGTGCAAAAAAAAGGCCTCAGTCATGAAGGGGTTAATATCACTTTAAAATTAAATGAGGGGTTTCTTCAGGTTCAATTTAAACAAAATGTTCTGATTTTTTTTTTTCATTTTCATATGTACAGTACTTTTATTCAGATAACTGATTAGTTTTTTTTCCCCCTTCAGCTTTCTAGGGTGACTCGTTTTCTCTGAGGAGCCTAGAAGCAGACGGCTCATGACTTCAGATCAGGATACTAAAGTTGTGGCTGAACCGCAGGTGCAGCAAGTCCAAGAAGCCAAAGACAGTTCTCATCTTGTAAGTACTCTGCTGCTGCTGCTCACATAGACCAGTTACTGGTTGGGAAGTGTATGTGTCCTTTACATTTGTTTCTGAATGTCCTATCTCAGTGCTTCAGCTGTTGGTTAATGGAAGTTAAAGTGGCACTAAATGCAGGCGTTAAATCTCAGAAATGCATTCCCTAGCAAGGACCCTAACTATTAACAATTTACACCACTGCACCCGACGCTTTGCATTGCACTTGGTGATGTAAGGCTTGGATGCAGCTGCACGGCCATGGAAACCCATTCCATGAAGCTCTCTGCGCACTGTTCTTGTGCCAATCTGAAGGCCACACGAAGTTTGGAGGTCTGTAGCTATTGACTTTGCAGACAGTTGGCGACTTCTGTGCGCTTCAGCATGCGCTGACCCCGCTCTATCATTTTACATAGCCTACCACTTTGAGGCTGAGTTGCTGTTGTTCCCAGTTGCTTCCACTTTGTTATAATACTGTGGAATATTTAGTAGCAAGGAAATTTCACCTGAATCCAATGATTTGGAGGGGTGTCCCAATACTTTTGGAAATATAGTGTATTTTCTATTGAGAAAAGAGTATTTGTTGTCTGGGAGTTCTGAAGCTCTATAAGGACCGGTAATCTTGGATGATTTAGGACCTGCTTTGCAGTATGCGGTCTTTTCTTGGAGTGGTTCCATAGGTTCGCCTACTTACAGACATGTCAAAAAGTTCTATTTGTGTTTCTAGAAAACCAAACTGTTTTATATACCCGCAGAAAAAGTTTTATCGCTCTGAACAGAGTGTCTTTAGGAATAAAAGCATTCAATGATTCTGCGTCATTAAGAGTGGCCTATGAATCATAAATCCAAGTGCTGTGTTTTACTCTAAATTGTTAACCAAACACATACTGCTTTCACAGGTTTTCATTTCTCAAATTACCTTTCAAAGTATTTTATTAATTTTCCAAAGTAGAATAAAACAATAAAATAGCACATGATGCACAATCAGTATAGCATACAATTGCATTTCAGATTCTTCCACATTAGCATAGTCAAGTAGTAAGAGGGGGATCACTAGATGCCGTACACACAATATATAATAGTTCTGTAAAACAGATCATATCTATCACCCTATTCTTGCCAATTTATTCCCCCATCAGCAAAAACAAAACTCAAAACAGTCTGAGAGGAATATCTGGCATAGGGATCCGCCTATGTCTGCAGCAAACATTTGTTATGATCTCCTCCATATCTAATATAAATAGAAGACTTTCTGTCCAACATCAATGCACTAAACAGCTCACGTGTGTTAATTTCTCAAATTAACTTGCATTTCAATTTTGGCTATTTTAAGTCACCGAAAATATGTTCTCCTTTAATAACGAAATACATTAATTCTGCTGAAAGTAAACTTACACATGACATGTCAAAATGTTTAATGAGATATCAATGATGTGTAATGGACTGGAGACGGACTAAAGCAAAACCACCGCCTCCTGACTATGACGGCTCGTGTATTGGCCGGGCAGGGATAGAGATGCTGTATATGGTTTTTGCTAGAAATATATATACACTTGTTTCTGCATTGCAGGAATGTGAACATGACAGAGGTTTTATCCCTTCCCCACTTTTTTCTAGAATCATTTGTCCGTCTAATTCTAATGCAGTCTGTTGTAATGCACATGTGCTTCTAATGCACATCAAAACAGTTCAACTGGGCAAATCTCCAACTTCAGTTTCTCAAATGAAACCGCTATGCAAATATTGTACAAGTAGCAATATAAATGGATGGAATAAATACAATACAAATCAAAATTAAAGACTCTTGCGCTCACAACAAAATGAACATTTTGCTTGATTAATAAATGACCAGTATATCCACAATAGTTAATCACAGTGGGGAACACTTATCAATTTTGCTCTACTGCAAACCAATACTAAACAGGAGCAGTGAGACAGATTATGCATCAGATTTACTACAAGGTTACAACTCGAGTCATAATTTCTCTTCTCTCGATTGCTCTACTATATCACTGGGACAGACTAAAACCTGACCGTGACCACTTCTGAGCTATGCGGCTATTTAGAATGACAATCTGTTTCAGCTTCAGTAATCTGTCTCTTGACTTTGTAAACTGTTGCATTTGGCTGGCCAGGAATACAGACGCACAAGACTGTAAACCTGCCTCAGAGACTTTGCTGATCGAGAGGCAGTCTGATTTGTGATGAATTGTCTATAATTTGCCTGATAAATTTTATTCGATGAGTTTGACCTTCTATATAAAGACACTTGCTGTATCTAATCCACCATGTTCATATTCCTTCCTTTAGGGCCCTGTCACACCATGTCCAGTGCGTTCCGGTGTGGTCCGAGCTGGGCATGCACTGGATCGCATAGATAAGGCCATGTTCTGGGGGGGTAGGGAGCGTGGTGGTGCCATTCATGTCGGTGGCACCGCAGGCATGCCCCCCGCCCGCGCCGGAACACAAGGGACGATTGAAAAAAATTTCTGCATGTACTATTTTTTTTCCAATCACACTGGAACAGAGGGCATTCCTGTACCTTGCCTTCCAGTGCGGGCGATCGGCTGTACCAGCCACGCCCCCTCCTGCCCTACGCGGCTCAGCCTGATCTATGCAATTCAGTGTGTTCCGGGCTCGGACCGTGCCGGAACGCACCCGATTTGGTGTGACTGGGCCCTTAATCCTGATCCTCTGTTTAAAGAGTAAGTGCGCTTTAAATCTTGGCAACAATGTATCACAAATAACAAAGTACCAGATTATTAAGATAAGTGCGCTTTGAGGGCCCATTCACAATGCTGCATTGTGCTAAAGGCACAGTATCCAAGCGTTTAGCGCACACACTATCTCAACGCAGTGCACCGAATGCTAAGTATGCTAGCGCACTGCCATTCATTCTAAATGGCACCCTATCGCAGCTCCCAACGGGTGTATATTGTGCTGCAGCGCATGCTACTACAATACCATACGTTGCACTAAAGGCTCGGAACCGGATCCATTGAACTGTTAACGTTAAGGGCCCGGCATGAAAAAAACCCTTTTGCTTTAGATAAACAATAGTCATGTATTCTAATCACCTGGTGCAACTTAATAGAAAGACATATCATCATAATGTGCAGACTTGTAACACAACTAAAGCAGTATTAAACTCTCAAACATTGTATTTTTTACTTACGAGTCCTGATCAAATAAATATACTTTGCCCTGTGAAGTGTTCATTCAGTTTTCCCAAAGCACTTAGTTCCGTTATCAAACAGCTGCCTCCAAATCTCTCCTCGGCTCTGCTTCCCTGAACTTCCTGTCCAGTACGACATCACAAGGGACAGAACCGTCTCAAGCTACTAGCTTGGAATAGGCAGCTTCCCCTGCTGTTTGTGGAGACCCACATAGCTTAGTGGCACACACAATGGTGGCTCCATAGGACCCTGCAAAGTTGCAATTTTGTAATATGAGCTGGAGGAAGGACTGAGGAAATGCTGCCTGTGATAGACTGATGACATCGTCTTAGCCTATGCATAGTCAATGGGACTGCTTGTTAACGATAAAAGGTGAAGTTTTCATGAAGTATTACACATTTACTGTATATTATGACCTGCTATCAATTAAGATTGATACTTCATTCTTTTTGTGCTTCTTGTAGATAAATCTAGCGGTTAGTGAGTTACATACAGGATGAAATAAAGCACAGTCATTCTTTTTGTATTTTACCATTGTCCTGTCTCTTTATTTCAGGAATCAGCTAAGGTTTCAGAGTTAAACCCTAATGCTAAAGTATGGGGGGACCATGTGTTACATGTGGAATCGGGCAGAGCTGCTGATGGGACTGTGGAAGAATCTGGAGGTTCACTGGGTAGCTCCTCCCAGGATTGGCCCAAAGAAGGTATAACAAAATCCCTATATGAAAAATGGTTACACTTGTAACATACTGGGGGTAATCTAATGCATAACTGCTGTGAGAGAGGTTTAGGGCTTCCATTGATGACCTGTTGAAAATGCTAGCTACCTGGCTTCTATGCAGACCAACTGACTTCAGAACTTTGAGTCCATGCTCCAGTTTAAGAATGCAGATCAGGAAAGGTTTAAGAAAGTTGGATTATAATGTAATTTTGTCATTAGGGGAAGTCAGCAGTGACTATCTTTTTCTTTAATGTGGTGTGTGCTGTCCTGTAAAGTCAGTCAAGTAAAATTGGTTGTCGAATCTTTAGCTTTCATTTTTCTTGCAACTTTTCTCTGGTTGCTCTGTCTTCTATTTGACTGGTTTGGATTATAATCCTACCTTGTGGAAGTTGCATATAGAAACAGCTGACCACAGTACATGGTTACCACCAGAAGTCCCAGCTAGCTTTTTCAGCAGGTCATGTAAAAGAGAACTATGAGGCGAGTGAAAATCACTCTTCCGCATAGTTCGAGCTGACGTGTGACAATGTCACACGTTGGCTTAATAGATCGGGAAGTGAGCGAACACATACTGTCACTCGCTTACTTCTCGATCCTGTCCCTGCAGAGAGTGGTGACTTTCAGTCACGGATTTCCCCTCTCCGATCCTCCAGCGCTGAGTGGAGAAACGGATGGGGGAGGGGTGCAGGCACAGCTGGATCTGCCTCTAGATAGGCAGAGCCAGCTGTCATTAACGCAGCTGGGTGGATCCAGACAGTATTGTCGGGATCCGTCCCGGCTGCGGCGTTCTCAGTATACCGCAAGGTGTAGCTCACGATATACTGAGCTTTGGGTCACGGGAGGATGCTAGTATATGTCCTCCTGTGACCCTTAAGAGAACTATGGGGAAAAACACCCCATAGTTCTCAAATTAAAGTATTTTAATTGCACTGGGGGGGACAGGGGCTCAGTGGTCAGCACTTCTGTCATGCTTTCATTAAAATTTGTGGGGTTTTTTGGTGGTGGGGGTGGGGGGGAGTACATATGAAAAAGCTGCTGCTTTTAGCATGCCTTGGAGTAACGCAACATAAGATGAATGTTGTACATTAGGGACTTTTTTTTTGTTTTATTGACTCAAATATTTATTTCAGGACTGGATGCCAATGGGGATGGTGTCAGTGCAATGTTAACACAAGACCCATCTCCATCAGTTTCCACGTCAGACCAAACAGATATGAATACCGTAACTCTGGGAAACTCCGAATATGAATCTATGCATGAAATCTCACATTCAGGTAATGATTCCATTATGTGTTTGCAGTGAAAAGCATATTTTTTCATTTTATTTTTTAAATTTTAAGTGATTTCCAGAATTGCATGCTTTATATGCATGTTTGTAAAAGATATAAGCTTTATTTACTGAAGAAACATTACAATCATGTTTTATAGTTGGTTATATCTTTTCCTTCCACTGTTCAGTTGTTTGCAGTTCTCAGCTAATTATCCCCAATGACAGAGCAAAGTTCTAGTCATCATCTAATCTGATTACCTGTAAATATTTTTGCATTTGGTTTTAAGCTTATAATCCTTTAAACCAGGATCCCCAAAGATATTAAAGGACCAGTCCACTGTCCATCATATTTGGGTACTAGACTTTGTTCTATGGAAATACAAAACAAAAAATGTCCCATGTCCAGCAGCCAGTGCAAGCACGGAATGGCCCTGTGTTGGCATGTTGGCAACATTTGGGAGCACATACCATAGGGCTGCAACAACAGATGATGGCATGGATGCAAACCATATACACCAACCCAACTGCATGGGTAAAAAAAACAATGATTTTCTATTTTCCAGATTACAAATGCAATGAGACAGAGCTGTCCTCTATTGCCTACAACATTCATTCTTTTGCTAGATCCTTTCATTAGGTTTAAATTAACCAAATTATAGAAAGTATTACAGTAATGATCAAGAACATAAGATTCCAGCAGCATTTGTTTATTATATGGCTTTTTCCTAATGAATCCATGCTACTCTCTTAAATTTGAGGAATAGGGCACATTTAGAGGCCGGCTCTTAAATTTGAGGAATAGGGCACATTTAGAGACCGGCTCTTAAATTTGAGCAATAGGGCACATTTATTTCAGGAATGACTACACGCAATCACTGAGCATCACCACCACAAACCCTTAAGTGTACCGAAACTGTCCTTTTACTTGGAGTGACTCCAATGTACAGTATTTGAGAATAAAATTACCTGCAACATTCTCCGACCTGTTCCGTCTAAATTATGCCCCTTCCAAGGCCGCTATCCAGACTGACCTCAAAAGATGGAAAACCATTTCTTTTACTTGGCTAGGGAGAGTACCACTTATGAAAATATATATTTTCCCATGGCTTCATTACCCACGCACTATTCCCATCATGTTAAAGTCTCGCTAAGAATGTCCAATTTTTATTTTATCCGCTAAGGGACCAAGAACATATAACACTAGGTCCCGTTCAAATCCGTCCTGCTGTTGCAAAGCAGCGTGGTCGGAAAGTTTAAACACCTCTGCTCGACCACGCTGCTAGCAAAGAGTTTTGAGTGACAGTGTTGGTCTTTGGCAGCAGGGTCTGCTCTGGAGACCATTTCTAAGAGGTTATGTGATACATATGCGGTATGATTTATCCGCCAGGGCAGTGCATTTACAAGCGGCCCCGGCAGATCATCACATAGCCCTGCAGCATTGAGTAGGATTGGGTGTGTGTAACTTTGTTTTCTTTTAACTTAAGCACCTGGATAAAAATGCGCACTTAACCCTTGCAGTGTGTGTGTCCCCAATTTATATACAAACATTGGAGTGATCACCTGATTACTCCAGTGTTTGCTTTGCATACAGAAAATCGGTAAGTGTCACAGATATTTACTGACCCTCCGCTCGGCCATGCACACAGCCGCTGTCATCCTGAAACTGACGGGATGACAGCAGCTCCTCTCTCCTCCCCTCTAGCTGCTGCTCTCATGCCGCTCGGCCAGCCTGGTGATTGGCTCCCTCCTCCACACTGCATCGAACCGGCCATTTCTCCTTGGGTCCCCGCTGCCTTAAGGTGCCCATACACTGCACGATTATCGTACGATAATCATATGCGATCGGTTTTTCGTACGATAATCGAGCAGTGTGAACGGAGACGTGCGACCGTTTCTACTGTACGGTCGCACGTCTTCTGTCGAACCAGCATGTTCGAAAACCAGCCGGGAATCGTACGATTCTCGGCTGGTTAGAACGGTGCTCGGAAGATAAATGCTGAACGGGCCGGTGTGCGCACGCGCACACTGCCCGTTCAGCATTGCGGTCATCGGAAGCCCGCCCCTCAGGGGGGCGGGCTTGCGATGATCGAGAGTGCGATCTGCCTGTCCAAGATAGGCAGATCGTACGTTTTTTTAATCCCTTTACAACCATCGCAAGACTGAAGTCTTGCGATGGTTGTAGAGTGTATGGCCACCTTTAGCCCATAAAGGCGGGGAAGAGCAAAGGGGATCCGAGGAGAAGCAGGGAACAGCTGCAGGCAGCGGGGAGAAGATGAGATTTTGGTTTATAAATGCTTCTCAGCTGCTGATAAGCCATTATTTTAAAGGGGACCGTCGGGGGGAACTGTTTTGGTATAAGTTCTTGGTCACTAAAGTGACCATGAGCTTATAGTGTAAGGGAGAAAGCCACCGCCGTAAGGCTTACTGAGCCTGCCAGCTGGAACAGTTGTGTTCCGCTGTAAGCCTTACATCTTTGGCAGGGAAAGGGTTTCATACACGATTATCAGTTTTAGTTTTTTTACTTTTTTTGTGAGAATAGGATCATACGATAATCTGTGCATTTAAGTACAAGTACTGAGATACCTTATTCTAAAGGCTAAATATAATTTCCACATATATATTTCCTCATTTTCCTGCCAAAGGTTTCAGCCTGCTGTTTCTGTGATGCTCCTTACTGTTGGGAGCATTACAGTATTGTATCCTGGGTCAGCTCCCTGCTGATTCGATGGAGTTGATGATGCCAACCCATTGTCCAAAGAGCAAGTTGGAAACCTCTAAAGTGTGCCAGGATGGACGATGTGGTATAAGACTGTATACAATTAGAAATGACAGAACATTTTTAAACTATGTGTCTTATAGTTTTCTAAGAGTTTCAGTTAAGGGGAGTAATCTGTTGCAACTTAACTTATTGGTTGCAATCGATACTACAAGAGTTGGCTCTCTTAAATAATGGGGGTTGTTTGAAATTATTAACTGGAACAGAAATAACTTCCATTGCTGACTTAGTTTGAAGATGCATACCCCAGAGCTTTTATTCTCATTAATTTATTACTTGGTGAGTCAGTGACCTGGAAAAAGCATATGCCTATCCGGTTCCAGAGCTTGTTTCCTCAAATGCATAGCAACAGCAGCTTCTGACAAATTACCTTTACATTGAAATACTTTTTATTATGTAATTATGTGGACCAGTTATGTTTCATACTCTGTTACACTTCTTTAGGTTTTTTGTAATGCTATGTATAGTTGATGCAGTTTGTAGGAATAATATTGTACATGGTTATCCACTTGCTGCCAGTTTGTCATCTCTTTTAAATAGCAAACTTGGTTTTGTTTTCTTTTTTTTTTTTTTATTTCTCCCCCCCTCCTATGAAATCTTCAGGAGGAAATGATCTACCGCAGCCAGAAGGGCAGGAAGATCTGCGTGACGTTCTTAAGAAAACACTGGAATTCTGTCTATCTCGGTATGAAATGTTTAATGTCTAATAAAATTGATGATTAAGTAACTAATTGCGGAGTTTGTGGTTTTGCATAATGGTCTGTTCTTACTCGTTGTTTATCTGTAAGGTGCCAGCCAAGAAAATGCTCTCCATTAACCTATTACCCACATTGACAAATTTAACCAATTTTATGCCTGTGAACTTGGCGCAGCCTGTGTTCTGTGACAGTATAGAAATCGTACATTGACATTGGTGGGAAATAAGAACTCCAAATATGACCTACTTGGCTCTTCGTAGTACTTATTATCTTTGGTGGACCTTGGCTGATGACATCAAGTTCTGTATAGTTTGTTTTTTTGTATTAAGCAAATTTCTTCAATATTGATGGCCACATATGCCTAAAAAGTTATCGTTTATGCTGGGTGAAATGATTTAATTTTTCACCTCAACATTTGTCTTGGGTCAAGTGTTGACCCAAGACTTGTGCAGGACTTAACAGAGCTCTCTGCCAATTTAAGGGACCAAGCAACAATCCCATTGATAACATTTCAAATCAAGAGTGTAACTTCCAAAGGTGTCAATCCATTTACTAACTGGTATGTCCACCTGAAAGTGGTAGTTCTATCTAGTGGAATGTTTGCATTTATTGGGGAACAGGGTGACACAATCTTCTCAACATCATTCTGGTTCTGTTTATGCCCAGCCTCGAGGCCTGCATGTCCCTACTTCTTTTACGATCTTTGGGAGCCAGATTAATCATCTAGTAGGGCATGTGGCATCTATAGAAATGGATAGGGGATGTATGCACACCAGGGCAACTGAATTGTACAGATCTTTCTACTGGAGTCCCTAGTTGATGTTAGAAGCTGTTTCATGATTAAACTCTCTAGCAACGACAACAAAAAATATGGTATTTGCGGCTTTTCTGCAATATTGTATAGGGTCAGTTCATCAAAACATATTACAGTATGGTATAAACATTTTACCCACAGATCTAACGCTCTTCCTTCAGACTCGATTGTAAGCATTGATACACTTTTAAAAATATCATGATCTTGAAGGCTCGGCAAAAAAATCATTGGGTTTAAGTTGTTAATACAGCTTATGAGCCACTAGAGCTGAATAAATTACAGCCTGAGGCATTATCGGTTCATTTTGGTATTGGTCAGTTGGTAGCCTTAATTTTTTTTTTTTCATTCACAATCTACACTTGTATTTTCACACCCAACGAATTCATTTTTAGTTCATAGTTTTAATGGCCTGCTCTAGAGATTTAGTGATGTTTAAATGACATGTTTTCTCTGCAGAGAGAACCTTGCCAGTGACATGTACCTAATATCGCAAATGGACAGTGATCAATATGTGCCAATTATGACCGTAGCAAATCTGGACCATGTCAAGAAGCTAAGCACCGACATGGACTTAATAGTTGATGTATTGAGATGTGAGTATGCTTTGCTTATCCTCCTACACTGCATTCCACCAGCTTCTCTGCACATCAGCACACGAGTACTTTTTGTTTCATTATTACCAGCCTATTTTAGGTTGCTGATAGCTTTTTCCAATTACAGGCCTGGCATTGGCCAGTTCTAAGCTGTCTATTGGTGTTATCAGACAGTTGACGCATTGTAAGCTGATACTCACTAAAAAAAAGTGTTCAATTCAGGGTCTAATCCCGCCAAATACTGTTTTTACAAATAGTGTGTATGTGCATAGTATAATGTGCATAGGGTAGCTGTGCTGTTACGTTGTAGATTCAGTGCACTGAGCATTGTACTCTAGGACTGGAGGTGTGTTTCTGACAGGATAGCCAGGTTAATAAAGGTGTAAAAAGGAAACCTGCATCCACCACATCTTAAGACTGATGACCTGCAATATATTACATTATGGGTTTGGATGCGTTTTAAGGTAAACACTACAACAAAAAACTGAACGTACACTATACTTTGCACTGAATGTTTTCATATGTACTGTATAGTAATAAAACACATTTTTAAAGTGATTCTCATGTCAGTGCTGTTGTGCTCATTTGCTGCCTGCTTTTCATTCCAGCTTTGCCTTTAGTCCAAGTGGATGAAAAGGGAGAGAAAGTAAGACCGAATCAGAATCGGTGTATTGTGATTTTGCGGGAAGTTCCTGAGTCTACTCCTATAGAAGTAAGTATATGGTCTTTCAATAATTCATTGTTCAGATTTTTTTATGGGGATATTCTGCTCCCAAAATGTAATGTTTTTGGTTTTTTTGCCTACCTGTTTCTGCAATTGTGTAAGTCTCATATACAACACTGTAAGTTGATAGAAGTGGTGATTATTTTTTAGGATGTAGAAGCCCTCTTCAAAGGGGAGAACTTGCCGAAATTTGTTAATTGTGAGTTTGCCTATAATGACAATTGGTTCATCACTTTTGAATCCGAAGCTGACGCACAACAGGTAATGCACTTTTTTTTTTTGTTGGTCAAAATATTTGTACTACTAGTTTGGAAATAAGTTGGCTTTGCCTTTTTTTCTTTTTTTGTCCGCATCAGTGCAATGCATTTCACAAAATATAATTATAAACTTCCAATTGATCTTAAGTTCGGTTTAAGTTCACTTGATACACTTCAAGTTCATCATAGCCCATGCAAAGTCTTCCAGTTTGTCGTCTTTGGAAAGCAGCCACCTCATACGTAGAAAAGCCTATCCCCTGTTGGCATGCTGTAGAGAATGTCTGTCTGTGTGGAACGAGAGTTTTTTTTAATTTTAGCTGATTTTATAGTGGACCTACCATCAGATACGTTTTTGTTTTTTTTTTCTTGTACTACCCCCATCCCTGCCTTCATTTGTTATCCATCTTTAGAGTGGTGGCACCATCTTTTATTTTGCAGCATGAAAACTGTATTCAATAAATTGCGTGCATCTATGTTCAGTTCTGTAAACCTGGGACCGACAGAGGCAAAGAGCGCATTGACTGTCCCTCTCTCTCACCTGCACCGCTGACAGGCAGCTGAGAATGTTGCTCATGAGCTAAAGCAGAGATTTCTACAGTACAGGCTACTCCTGCTTATCTTGTCCGTCCAAGCAAAACTATCTGACAGGAAGGAGGGAATCAAAACTCATGCTGCTGATGTAATGGCACGCATGAAAGGTTGTAAGCAGTGCTGAACAGTCGACAGAAAATCATCTGCTACATAAATGTAAATAAAAGGAATATCTGTGGATGGGGACTTTTTGGAAATCAAGAAGCACCTGGGTTTGTTGAGACTGACTCTGTTAAAGACTATTATTAGTTTAAAATGATGTTAGTGGGCTCAGGTGCACTTTAAAATGAGCCAGTTTTCAGTTATTTTTAGCTTCACTTCAAATTTTGTACAGTTGGAGCATATATATGGCTGAGGATGCTTCTTTCCCCTATATGACAGTTTTTGACCACGCGCCAGCTCTGTTGCATGCTCCATATGTGGATGTGCATATGTGATTTCCAAAAAAACTACTATCCTTTCTGTGTATTGGGGAAACTGGAAGTCCAGGAAGAATGTTTTTGGACAAATGTACATTGTTCTAGCTCGGCTTAATGCAAGTATGCATTTCTCATAGCTGGAGATACTGAGAATCACTGTAGTAGTCTATGTAGAGCTGTGATCGTCCAGCTGCGACTCCAGCAGTTTCCTATAACATGCCCCCATTTTTGGAAAGCCTTGTATTGTTTTCAGTGAATACAAGACATTCTCTGATTGAACGAGGTTGAATTTGGGACATCATCCACCGCTCCTCTCCACATTGTCCAATCAGGGAACACCTTGTATTCATTGAAAAATAGTTGGTGGTACCAAGTGAGCAATTCCCTTAGTGAGTGTTATGTCATCCTTGAGCCCCGTTCACATGTAGCAAATTATCGCGCGATTTCGCGCATTTTTGCCGCGCGATATCGCGAGAAGTCGCCGGCCAATGCTATTCAATGGAGCTGTCTTAACTCCATGTCGCGCGTCGCAAGTCGCTTCTACCGGACCCTTTTTTTGGTGGATTTTGCGCGATTTTGCCTTTTTTCTATGGAGCCCGACGGAGAAGGTTGTGCTACCGTCGCTGGATCGTCGCCCCGAAAGTCGCGCTATCCCGGCCGTGCGGATCCGCTGCAAAAGGTATGTCGCTACGTGTGAATGGGGTCTTAGTGTGCATGGGCATATCAGAGCCAAGCTGGAGAAATAAAAACTTCCTTCCTGGAGTTTGGAAACGCACAGTAGCCATGGATAAATGTCCTTAAAGCCAGTTTTTCTTATTGTGAGTGTTTGTATATGTGACCTGGTTTTTCTGCGGCTCTCTTTAGGCCTACAGATACCTGAGAGAAGATGTGAAGACATTTCAAGGGAAACCTATAAAGGTGACAAAACTGACTGATTTAATAACGCCTCTCTAATTTGTTACTGCAGACTACTCACCTGTAGAACCTCTCCTTTGTTTTCAGGCGCGGATAAAAGCAAAGCCAATAGCGATAAACACTTTTTTGCCAAAGAATGGTTTTAGACCTTTGGATATGAATTTGTACACACAACAACGCTATACCACATCCTTCTACATACCTCCTCTGTACAGTCCACAGCAGCAGTTCCCTCTGTACAGCCTCATTACCCCACAGACCTGGTCTACTGCACACAGCTACCTGGACCCATCACTGGTATGTGCCTTGCATCTAACCTACTGTTCCCTTTTGCTTAAATAAAACGCTCAAGGCTTACTGGGTTATTTCACACCTGCAGATAATCATTTTAATTTTTCATTAATGTACACTACACAGCTATATATGAAGCTTTGGATACTAAGTAATGCATTGATGTATGTCTTTGTTTAGGTAACGCCATTCCCCAATACTGGATTCATTAATGGGTTTACATCTCCTACTTTCAAGCCAGCAGCATCACCTTTGACGTCTCTGCGACCTTACACACCTAGGAACAGGCAAGTGATGCTTGTGCTGTAGTGTATTATTGGACTGTTTCCCACCCATTTTCAATATTTCAGTGTTTTGTCAGTAATAGTATTGTCATACATAAATAGAATAATTCTGGTTCCAGCCAAAACATTCATTTGGTTTGGGATAGGATAGGGACTGGTTTTGAAACTCTGTCCAATATCAGGATGCCAGAGGGAATTTACTCATTGGGGTCACAGACAGTACTGATGATGAAAGCCAGATATAACCCCCCTTTCCGCTCAAATAGTGTTTTTTAAAATGATTTGTTCTCTATATTCCCTCTGGTGCGATTGCCTTTGCTTCTCAGGGACATGATAGGAAGTGGGAGCAAATCTTTCACACAGCCAGCGCCCGCTGTCAGAATACCTGAACTGAGCCGTCAGCTCATTGGCTACCAGGTTTGTTCAGTCGAAGATTTTCTGACCGGCTCCTTTGATAAGCTGATCGAGGGATGACGGCCGAAAGGGTGCCAACAGCACCATATCGGTGTGAATTTCCTGAAGAACCAGCTACAATTTGCATAATGTATGGCCAGCTTAAACATGTATTAAACTCTCCAACTTTTTTTTTCAATAATGAATCTACAGCCAACAAACATTCCGTATATTGCCTAGCACAGCATTGCTTTACATTTTTGCCCAAACGCTTAGAATCATCATGTTTCTGAATAGTTGCTTCCAAGTCTCTCAGCTTCCCTGAACTTCCTGTCCAGTACAAAATCACAAAGGATAGTGCAGACTCCAGCAACTGGCGGAGGGGTTGGGAAGTAGTTATGTTTGTGGAGACGCATACGGCTTACTAGCACACAGAAGGGTGACTGCATAGCACTCTGCTTGAGAAAGAAGTCACTCTAAAACAGTAAGTCAGGACCAGTGATCAGGAGACCAGCTGATTCTAAAGGAAACTCAAACTTTCAGGCTGGGTTCACACCTGGGCGTTCCCAATAGGCGGGTTTTTTTGCACGTTCTTAGCACGTTTTTTAGTCCAATGAAACGCAGTGTTTGACGCTCGTTTAACCTCCCTGGCGGTATGTTTTTTTGTTTTTTTTAAACTTTCAAACTTCCTGCCCGTTCCGCCTCCCTGCGATGTGGATGCTTGCAAGGGACGGAGCCCGGAAGACTGCAGCGGCCGGAGGACACAGCGGGGATCGCGGACACTTTAAGACCTACGCTGTATTCCCAAGTGTGGCTCGCGGTTTGTTTACCCCAGGCCACACTCGGTAATACCAATGGATACACGCTGAAATCCGCCCAAAGAAGCTCCTGTACTATTTCAGGCGTTTTTCAGCGGGACAAATCAAATTCATAGGATTTAACTTCTTGAGCATTTTTCAGCACTTCGATCAGCGCTTAAAAATGCCCTGGTGGGAACCCAGCCTAAAACATCAAGGATCAGCATCCATTGTAAGTGATTTCATCAGCATTTGGAATAGCTTAAAATCCTTTTGACTTTAATATCACTTTAAGGTTCCATATTACACATATGTTGGTTCAAGGGTAATGATAGAAAGTACTGATCACCTAAAGACTAGTGAATGCTTGGAACATTCCAAGCTTCCAGCAGAGTGAGTGGATTTAATCATGCTTGGCATAAACCTAGGTCTATACTCTATAACATGATTGGGCAGACTGTGGAGCACTTGGTCTTCACGCTGTCACGCCTGTTTCAATTAGGCGTTTGTGAAACGTTTTATATTCAAATACTTTCTAGGAATCCTGGCAAGTCCCATCTTCGGCATACAATACCAAGTACCGAGAGGGCCCCTGCACTTCTTGATGGTCCAACTATTTTCAACTTTACTACTGATAGACTAATCAATGGTGTGCGTGGGCCTCAAGCGCGGCAACCCGGACAAACCAGAACAAGAATGCCGAATACAACAACATTTAAAAGGGATGTTGGTACAGGCCGTGTAGAACCTCCAACTATTGAGAACTCCACTGGCCTCGGGAGGGGGAGGTGAGTTCTGTTACATGTGTTAACTTGTTTCTGAATTCTAACAGTGAGCTTCTCTTATTTGTTAAATTTTCTTGAATGATACCATTGGAAGCATTTTTGTTTGATCTGTTCGATAGGTGTAAAAAAAACCCTGTATATCTTGTCATCTGCATTCTGTAGTGTTATCTGTCTTTCCCAGTTCCTGTGTGAACTACAGAATGTCAAGTGACTATGATATTCAAAGAGGGAGATGTTCTGTTGTCCGAACACACTTTCTGTCCTAGGATGACAACTCCTCCTTTTATAGATGTTGTGAGTGAACATAGTCACTAGGACAAGAAATGTGTTACTGGAAGAAGTGTGGGGGGGAAAAAAAATCACATTCTTGCTGTTGGTTTTAAATATACTTTAAAAGTATGTTAACTTTAATATACTGTATATTTACAGTGAGTAGCTTGCATACGCTTCATATGACATTCTCCCCTCCACATTTCCACCTATATATGGCTATTAGCTAGGACCACAATCGATATATGAAGGTTGTAGAACACTGTAAATGGTCAAAAGAACATATCTATGTTGCCATATAAATGCAGCTAGTGTGAGCACACATTTCCTCAGAGGTTTATATGTTATGTTATGCTATGTGTAATGTCTATTATGTTTCTCCTCAGGAAAACATCTTATGGCTTTAGGAAGAAGCGGGATGACAAGTTTGTGGTGAGTTCTATTAAGCATTTTACAAGATACATAACTCATTAGCTTTAAGCAAGAATGATCTATAATGGGTATTGCTTGGTTTGGTGACTATTCATATTGGGACCATTAGTAGTTGCCTCTGTAGTAACGTGACCTCCCAATAGCTGTACTCGGAATAGCTATTTTATAACACTTATGGGTAGCAACATCATGACCAAACTGCAGTTCAAAGTAGTAGAAAATGTATCTCAAAGAGGAACTTTACCCTTAGCTTTAAAATGACAACAAAGGCACCTTTAGAAATGTTTAGTAACGACAATCTACAAACAGATACGTCTAGAAAATTGCCGGCTTTTTAGTCTTTGCTCACCTTATTTTTCTGTTCCTCCCCTTTTCTTGGTGTTCATTTTTACTAAGGGCAGATTAATCCATCTTCCTTTACCTCCTAGAGCTGTAGTACATATTACTAGGACATGTTACAATGCACATCTCAGGGGAAAAAATGCCTTTCATGAAGATCTTGAGTTTTGCAGTTCACATATGAGATTTACCAGCAATGCGATGTGATCTAACCTTCCCAGGATCTCTTAGGCATGAACTACATCACTAACACTTAAGACAGCGGTTCTCAACCTGTGGGTCGAGACCCAAAAGTGGGTTGCAACTCACTGTTGAGGGGGCGCAGCATCCACTTCTGCTGCGCTAGGTGAGAGGCTCCTCAGCATCCTCCTAGCGCGTCAGCGGGAGGACAGCAGAGGTTGTGCCGCTATACATGCTCCCTGGCTGCTGCAGCGACATCTAGTGGCCGGGGAGTGTGTACAGCAGGGATTTTTATTCACAGCCGCTGCTGTCCTCCCGCGTCCCATACGATGTGAGCTCTGCAGGAGGCGGGCATCTTTGCAGTGCTGGGGCTGAGAAGTGGCTGCATGGAGACAGAGCAGGCTAGCTGGGGCTGGGAAGGGCTTGTGTTCTTGTGAGTGTGCTTCTATTTTTAGTCCCAAGTCCAGCGCCTTACTAATTCTGGAGTCCAGCGCTCCGCTGGGGGTCACCACAACTTGGCAAATGTTACCAAAGAGTCCCGCCCTAGAAAGGTTGAGAACCACTGACTTAAGAGGAAGTGGAAAAACATTGTAAGAAAAATAAAAATGCTTATTGCTAAGGACTGTAAGATTTCATATCGGCATGCAGAGCTGAATGCTGATGTAATTTTGAGTGTAAGGGGGTAAAGTTCCACTTTGTAAATTCACTCCTCTCCGATATGGATGTATCAGTTTGGTGAATACTTCTAAAAGCTGTAAAACTATGTAGCAGGCTGTCATTGAAAGCTGATGATAATATTTTTTGTTTCCCACAACTTGTATAGGGATGAGTAAAGGTGTTTTTAAATTAGGAGCCTGTTGCTTTGAGGCTGAAATCAGGATATATGCACAAATTGTAACATAAAGCTATGTAAACAGGATGAGATGTATAAATGAAGCATTTCAAAGGCTAAAATACAAAATATATTTTTCTCATTCTGCTCCTGACTTCCCATGCTGCTTTATAGCACTATAGGATAGTCTGAAGCAACATTTTCCTCAAGAAAGGGAACTACATTCTCTCAGCTCTTCTATATTTTTAGCCATCCCAGCAAGATGTGTTAACTTTTTTTCTTAAATATAATTCCAATTGAGGGAGCCAATATATATGCACATCTATTGGGGATAGTGTTGTAGTAAAAAGGGTAAGGTGCTAGTACTTTTTGCAGGCATTTACTACCTTGCTTATGGTTTGTATAGTTCAGAGTGATTGACAGTTTTTATGTTCCTCCTTTTAGAGAGGTCAGACACAGTCCCCTCCACCCATGAAGCCCCCATCTCCAAGTTTTGAACTGGGACTCTCTAGTTTCCCTCCTCTGCCTGGTGCTGCTGGTAACCTAAAACCTGATGACTTTTTTGAAAGCAGACTTTCAAGCTTGGTGATAAGCACATCAAAAGAAAAGGTAAGTACTTGATAATTAATGGATTGTATGCTATATAGAACTTGAGAAAGGGTCTTACATGTTCTGGATTGGTCTCGGTAATTAGTATTTTAGGAGATTGTGTTAAAATGTACCCATATCCACCAGCCTCTAATCTGCAGATTTACTATTTTTGATCAGTGCGGTGATGTCCTGTTTCCATCCTGCTTCACAATGTTCCCGGTGTTAAAGTGAACCTTTGCTTTCCCCATGCCTAGTGATGTAACATGGTTCACTTTAATGCCTTCACCCTCAGCTGCTTATGCTTGTACATCACTTGTCCATGGGAGTGGGTAGAACTAGCCATAGAGCTTGCACAATGCTGAGATTTCTTACAACCCCACCCCTAAGCTGTCATATGGGAGGAAGAGATGTGAGAAGTACTCTGCCATCTCTGGAAGTACCGAGCATGTCATTTCACTTCCCCAAGCAAGTAGACTGTCCAGAAAATCAGTATGAACAGCTGTGGAGACCACCAGTAAAGTGAACATGTTGGTTTGCCCTACAAATCACAGGTTGACTCTTCATCTCTTCCAGACCCACAGGAAACAAAACACCTTAAGTAGCTGAAAAGCCAAAACGAGTCTAGTTTTTAAAATGCTTGTCCTGGTGATTAGCTTTTAGTCTGAGGGAACTGTAATTCCTTGTATTTATAATGGTAACAAAAAAAATTTCATTTGTTTTTGCTTTTCAAAAATATTCTTTGTTTTGCACACTCCTGGCCAAAAAAACTGTAGCCATTGTGTGTGGCCTTGTTGGTATGAATGTTACATGAAGGGGGAGAGTAGTATTAAAGAGAACAGATCTTAAATACTTGTATCATACAGAACAATGTCAGTGCTGTTTTTATACTTCCAAAGAATTCTCATACCCAGCAAGAGACGTGGTACTGTGCAGCATCTGTACATACAGAACCTAACTGAAATGATGGCATTACAGCATGGAAAACAAGTGTAGCATCTTGCCATATTGTGGGATTGCTTGGTTTAATATACCTTTCTGGCATACTTAGGCAGTGAACTCTACTTCCCAGTGCTGAATATCTGAAAGTAATGTTTTTGGTTCATGAGTGGATTATAGCTTATCCTACAATATTTGTACACTGTCTTGCTTTCATTCCGTTACCAGCTACATGTGATTTAGCAGCAGGACATTGTAAAGGAGTGCAGGAAAAAAAGCTGTGTCACTTCTTAACGGGGACAAGTAGGGAATATGAAGTATATTCAGCAGTCTAACCCTGGCACAGTACCTCTGTGAAGAAAGAGGAGAAGCATTAATTTTGCTGCTGATTGAATTGCTAGTTCTGCTTGTCTCTCCTATGTTGTAGGGCCATTCATTTTTCTCAATTGCTTATGTAGAAAGAGGTGCCCTATAAATGTCTTGTGCATAGCGAAACATGATTTTATAGAGTGACCATTTCCAAGGCATCTCTGTGATCACAGGGGAAATGGCATGCAGTTTACGTTTTAGTACACAGGACTTCAGGCAGGGATTGGGGGCTGGTTTTCAAAGAGGAGGGTTAAAGTTGATCATGTTTGCTCTAATGATGCGTTTTTATTTCATGGTTTTGCAGAATGTTAATGTGGATGCAAGTACAAACACCATCCCTTCTGGGATTCCAAGGGAGCCACTATTGCCAGTTCCCACTGCACTGCCAGTGACCTACCAGAGTCCTCCATCACCATCACAATCACCAGAGTAAGTTTTTTGATAAGCTCATGTATCAGCTTTTAAAAGGATTAAAAATGTTTTGAGAGAAACGAGTTTCCACTGAAAATGCTTGCAGCCTATTTTTTTGACCCATGAGCTTTGATTATTTGGAACAAATATGTCAATCTATAAATATTGAAGCCAGAGGACCAGCTTGACTGCCAGGCATATCTTGCAGTTTCAGACAGAGGCCAAGAATGGCTGGTTTTCCTAGAGTCTAACCAGCATGGAACATTCAGTACGTGAATTATTCTGTCATCTTTTAGGGAGCTCCCTCACTCACTCATCTCATCTATGCGGAATGTAGTGATCAGATGTTGACTCTTGCGTTTCAGTCTTGGATAATGGCCAATTCATTGTTTTTCAGCCAGCTTTTTTTTTTTTTCAATTGCATTACCTGTCCATTAACCCCTTCGTGACTGACGACGTACAGTGTACGTCGCCAGCATCGGGGCTGTTTAAACAGACTCCCGGCGGCAAAAGTCGCAAAAGACACTTATATAATGTTGTGGGGTTTTAAGTAATTTTCAGGCCTAAAATGTGGAATATAACATGGGTACAAAAAATGAAAAAAAGGCCTCAGTCATGAAGGGGTTAAAGGTAAATCCAGCTTTTGATTGTGAAGCTCTGTCATAATAGGTTTCATCGAGAGTCTGAGTAGGGAGTATGGCTCTTACTGGATTACTTTTATTGGAATGCTAGACTAACCTGGCTTGTGATTTCCATGGATTGAAGGTCCCCAGCTTTTGTCAGCTGATGAGGCACATGCAGATAGAAACAGTGGAGAGAATTCACACTACCCAAAAATTGCACGAACGCTGTAAATAACATAACATAAACAAGTTTAAATGTTTCTCTACATGCAGGCGATCATTTATTTTCAGACCAGTTCAAGCAGCATTGTGCTGTCAGATCTTAGCAATGGAGATGTGCAGAGAGTTTTTACCATTGCCAAAGCTTTGCTTCAAAGTCTTTCCACTGCTAGATTTCACAGACAAGAGGTGCTGCTGATGAACCCTGTAATAGTCGGTATGCTTCTAAAGAAAAACTCTGGTCCTAGGCGTTCAAAAAAGCCCAGGCATTTACAGTTTGATTCCCCTTTAGACTTCTTAAAGGAGAAGTGTTGGGTAAGTAAAATATACAGTACCCAATGCGTGGAACTGGCTTGTGACAGCTGCAGTGTCGCATGCTAGCTATATAGACCAAGAGCTGACTGATCATGTGACCACTGATCGCTTTAATCAGGCTATTCTCTATGCAGGGACAGTCGCTACTCCCCACATGGAATCCCCCTCCTCCTCTGTTCCTCCAGCACCCATTGGAGGGACAGATAGAGGGGGCGGGCACAGCTGACTCTGGCTCTAGAGAGGTTTATGGCCGATGAACTAGTGGGCTCCGAGCTTCACCTGAACCACTGGCTTTTAGACTGGTCCTTCCAGCTTTTCTCCGATGCCGAGGGACGTATCAGTAGAGGAGGGGACCGGCTAGAGGCAGCGCTCTCACAGCCAGCCGTCTCCAAGGTTTGGGTTTGAGTGAGTAACTTTATTGTGCACGCTAGACGGG